AAAACAGTACACCTCTCTCAACAGTGTCTGGGAGGCTGTGGTTACTGCTGCACAAAAAGTTTGTCAACAGATCAAGAAACCGACAGACTCCATGAATGGAAGGCTTATGACTGTTATTGAAAGAAGGGTGGCTATATTGGTCACTGATTTTTTATTTTTTTTTAATGTTTGTAAATTTGAGTTTGTTTACTATTCTCACGTTAAAAATGTTCCCATCTCACTTGTTTATTTTTATTTCTTGTTTTTCGTTTAGTTGCATAATAATTCTGCACATTAATAGTTGCCCAATAATTGTGCACAAATAGATATTCTCCTAAGAAATCCAAAACCTCACTTTTACTTAAATACTATAGGTTTGAGGTTTATGAACATTTTGGATTGACTTAAAGCACTGTAGTTGTTCAATAATAAAATTAATCCTCAAAAATACAACTTGCCTAATAATTGTGTACACAATGTATACTGTACATTCACATCAGTCCCTGCCCTCAACGAGCTTAGTCTGAACTCACATTCACACATTCTAGGGCCAATTTAGACAAGCGCCAACCAGCATGTCTTTTGGAGTGTGGGAGGAAACCCATACAGGCACAGGGAGAACATGCAGACTTTGTGCAGATGGAGGATAAAAATGGGAAATTACTGGCTTTCCTGGCTAAACCGAACCATGAACCATTTATCATTCCTAGAATAGTAGACAGTGTGGGTGATATGCAGGAAACTACTGAATCTATTATGGCTGCTTTCCTGCAGTTTTACATTTTTCTTTATACCTCCCAGGTACAATATACACCTGATGAGCTGTTGGAATATCTGAAATCTGTAAGCCTTCCTTCCTTTACTACTGAGGACAGAGACTACCTGGACGCCCTGATTTCTGCTGATGAGCCGGAGCATACTACTTTGAGACAGTTTGCTAAACATAAAACACCTGGTTTAGATGGCCTGCCTATCGAATGGTATTTAACCCACGGAGAATTTGTCTTTCCTCATTTGCTTTCTCTTTATAAGTACATTTTAAAGGAGCAAAATCTCCCTGAGTCTATGCGAGAAGCTCTTATTCTTAAGATCCTATCCAAAATATTTGCCACCAGATTGAACTCGGTAGTTTCCCGTCTGATCAAACTAGCTTTATTCCGGACAGGTCTACTTATGTTAATTTATGGATGCTGTTCACAAACTTGAGGTTCCCAATAGCTCAAATTTCCCTAGATTGCTTGTGGCCCCCGGACACCCATAAAGCTTTTAACTCCATTGAATGGCCATATCTCTTTCAGGTGCTACAAAAATTCGGGTTTGGTGACCCTTTCATTTCCTGGATAAATATTTTACACACACTCCCCCAAGCATGTATAGGGATCAATGGCTGTACATCTGCTCCCTTTTCCATCTAGAGAGGCACTAGAAAGGGGTGTCCACTGTTGCCTCTTTTGTTTGCGCTCGTGATTGAACCCCCGGCGGAACTTCTTCGAGTTTCCTCTTTGATGAAAAGGATTCAAAATTACTCTCTGGAGGAAAGGGTGTCCTTCTATGCAGATGATATGTTACTGTATATTTCAGACTCACTGTACAGTGTTACTGCTGCTCTGGAACATATCCAGCAGTTTGAGCACCACTCTGGGTTTCAAGGTCAACTGGACAAAATCTTGTATATTTCTGTTGATGAAGACCTACCTCTCCAGTTACCCCAGTCTTGCCCTTACACATTACACACAAATTCAGATATTTGGGTGTTTGATATCCAGCTTCCATTGGCAAAGAATTGATAACAATGTCCTCCTATGCATCTCTTCCTTTTGCACCCCAATTAGTCATTGTATTAAGCTACCTCTCACCCTGTTGGGGCATGTTAACCCATTCATAATGGTCTTCCTGACAAAATGTCTTTATATTCTTGCTAATTCCCCAGTATATGTTTCCAAACACCACTTCCAGGAAATTGACTCAATTCTCACTACCTTCCTTTGGAACCCTAAGGTACCCAGACTTTCTCTGGAGACTTTGCAGCTTCCTGTCTCCAGGGAGGAGGGGGGTCTGGCATTGCCTAATTTGCATTTCTATAATTATGCCTCCCAATTGGTTTATATCCATTGATGGCTTTCCCCCAACAGAGCAAAGTAGCCTCTGCTGTTGAAGCGGCAGGGGTCTCCTTGTTTTAGACTTTGGGTAATCTTATTTACAGACGAACAGTTAACTCTAAATGCCTCTCTGCGAATTTACAACCACTGCTTAAATATTTTAGATGCAGCCAAGCACCTCTGTTCCCCCAACCAGCCATGATGGTTAAATCCCAGTTTGCTACAGTTCTACGATTTATCAGATAGTCTGAATTGGGCTAAGTATGATTTAACCTATCTTCATCAATTATATCAAGGGTGCGTGTTTAAAACTTGTATACACTTGCAGAGAGAGCTACATATCCCCCTGGAGTGGCACTTCAGCTACTTACAATTTCGCCACACGGCAGAGGCGCAGCTGGGACTCCAGGAGATGCATTTAAGTAATTCTAAACTGGAGCGTGCACTTCTTTCATCTAATCGTACATGACTTATTTCTAATTACTACTCCTTACTACTGGACAGACCTTCCACCCAGCTAACTAAAGTACAAGGTGGCTGGTTGATATCCCGGAACTCTCCCTAGATGACTGGAAGGAGGTTTATGCCTCATATCTCGGTACTGTAATCTTTGCTAGGGACAAGTTCATACAGTTGAGATACTTACATAGAACGTATTATACACCTAAGCATATATTTCTTATGCGCAAACATGCCACCCCCACATCCAATAAATGTGAGTCAGAAAAAGGGGACTTTATGCATATGGTTTGGTCGTGCATTAAAGTCAGACCGTTTTTGTTCTGAGATTACTGCATTTATTTCAGTTCATTTTGATCTCCCCAATGTCTGTAGTCCTAAGTGGTGTCTTCTCGGGTATTTGATGATCTTGAACTGACTGCTAAAGCTAAAAGATTTATATGAATATTGCTCTAATACACCAGGAAGATCATTGTATCATAATGGATATGTTCTGACCTCCTGCACATTGGTTTGTGGAAACGTTTGATTAATCAGAGCCTCCCACTTTATAAGCTTATTTATGAAGTGAAAGAGTGTCCAGGGAAATTTACTAGACTCTGGGGACCCTGTCTAGATACACAAGACACCAGTGACTCTCTTCTGCATTTTGTCTCTGACCCCATACCTTAGTTACCTTCTGTTTTAAGTCAAATCCTCCCCGCTGTTCTTGCTACTACCCCTGTTTGGGCTGGAAGTCAGAGTGTTATTATGACTTTTGGGACAACTACTAACATTGTGACCTTCTTTTTCTCTTAGTAACTTTTTATGGTGCTGGGCGCCTATGTGAAAACACTCAGTCCAGTAACATACAGTACATGTGTGCAGTATTCTTATGTACGTTTGCATACTCTGGGTTTTGTTTGTTTCTTCTTTGTTACTTATTTAATGTAAGTTTTTTCTTCTTGTTTGATTTATCTGATTGTGCATATACATGGATGTACCTATTTGTTGCTGCGATATTTGTGGAATTTACAGGCTTTGATACTCCAGAGCTGTGACAATTCCCTTTCTTCACACTATTTGCTACATAGTACTTTGCCACTGTATTGGCTTGGCAAGTATAGTTTGTATGTGCAAATTTTTTTGTTAACCACTTGCCTTCTAGAGGATTTACCCCCCTTCCTGACCAGGCCATTTTTTGCGATACAGTGCTGCGTTACTTTTACTGACAATTGCGGTGGTATTTGATCACCTGTGCTTTTTTAATTTTTTGCGCTATAAACAAAAATAGACCGACAATTTTGGAAAAAAAACCCAAAACTTTATTTTTGACTTTTGCTATTAAACACGTCCAGTAAAAATTTTTTAAAAATCAAATGCTCTGCTATGCAGAGCCATACAAAGCAGTGTGCAGGAGCTGACGGGAGAGATCGCTATTGTTTACATACAGGTCTCTCCACTGTTGGAAATCCTTAGAGATCGCCAGGTGGCGGTGGGGAATCACCGACCGGGACCCAGTTATTGACAGCTGAGGCCGCGAATGGTGGCGCTCGTAGGGCACACTCGCCCTACCCGGAACTACAAAATCATGTATATATACTTGATTTTGTGCACCCGTGCCGACCTGTAGCAGTATTTCTGCTATAGGGCAGCACGTAAGCGGTTAAATAAATGAAGTTTAAAAAAACACAAAAAACTGTGCAGGTAGTGCCCTGGTTGGGTTTCAAACCAATGACCAGAGTGCTGCTAGGGGGAAATGCTAACCACTTAGCCACTGTGCTGCTCTTTATCTTATTATATTAGGAATATAAAATATGACAAGAATAACATAACTGAATGTATTTTAAAATTTTGTTCAGTTGGTGTTTATACCTTTACAGATGAGATCTATTGATGTTGATTAAAATTGATATTCAAATGTTATTCCCATTTTGAATTATACATTTTGGAACATAAAAAAATGTATAAACCTGAAGGATGACTTGGGAGCTGTCTTTCCCAAAAATAAGTTTTGCATTTCATTTTGTGGTGTGAAATTTGGCACTGCAATTCTCTGCAATTAAATTATGAATAATGCTAAATTTTTCTCTAGCACAAACCTTATCCTGGTAATACTCTGATAAATATCATAAGTAATAAGTTTGTTCAGATTATTTCCCAGATATTTTAAACAGGGTTTAAATACTCTAAGACTAATATAGATGAAAGGCAAAACCGTCTTGTTTTAAACAATATGATTATATCTAAACTGTTAAGGTACATAATTTTGCTGTCTTCGTACTATATACAGTGCATTCATAAAGTATTCAGACCCCGTTCACTTCAATTTTGTTTTCTGCAGTCTGATACTACAGCTGTTTAAATTTATTTTTTTTATTCATATACACTATATTGCCAAACATATTGGAACACCCCTCCAAATCATTTGATTCAGGTGTTCCACATCCATGACCACAGATGTATATAATCAAGCACCTAGGTATGCAGACTGTTTTTACAAACATTTGTGAAAGAATAGGTCGCTCTCAGGAGATCAGTGAATTCAAGCGTGGTACCATGATAGGTCGCCACATGTGCAATAAGTCCATCTGTGAAATTTCCTTGCTACTAAATATTTCACGGTCAACTGTTAGTGGTATTATAACAAATTGGAAGCAACTGGGAACAACAGCAACTCAACCACAAAGTAGTAGGCCATGTAAAATGACAGAGCGGGGTCAGCGTATGCTGAAGCGCACAGTGTGTAGAAGTTGCCAGTTGTCTGCAGAGTCAGTAGCTAAAGAACTTTGTGTGGCCTTCAGATTAGCACAACAGAGCAAAGAGAGCTTCATGGAATGGGTTTACATGGCCGAGCATCTGCATTAAAACTTTACATCACCAAGTGCAATGCAAAGCATCAGATTCAGTGGTGTAAAGCATGCCGTCACTGGACTCTAGAGCAGTGGAGATGTGTTCTCTGGAGTGAAGAATCACGTTTTTCTGTCTGGCAATCCGATCGATGTGTCTGGGTTTGGCAGTTGCCAGGAGAACAGTACTTGCCTGACTGCATTGTGCCAAGTGTAATGTTTGGCGGAGGGGGGATTATGGTGTGGGGTTGTTTTTCAGGGGTTGGGCTTGGCCCCTTAGTTCCAATAAAGGAAATTCTGAAGGTGTCAGCATACCAAGACATTTAGAACAATTTCATGCTCTCAAGTTTGTGGGAACAGTTTGGGATTGCCCCTTCCTGTTCCAACATGACTGTGCACCAATGCACAAAGCAGGGTCCATAAAGACATGGATGATCTAGTTTGGGAGAGGGGTGGCGGAACTTGGCTGGCCTGCACAGAGTCCTGACCTCAACCCAATTAGAACACCTTTGGGATGAATTAGAGCAGAGACTGCGAGCCAGGCCTTCTCGTTTGACATCAGTGCCTGACCTCACAAATGGTCTTCTGGAAGAATGGTCAAACATTCCCATAGACATACTCTTAAACCTTGTAGACAACTTTCCCAGCAGAGTTGAAGCTGTTATAGCTGCAAAGGGTGGGCCAAGTTAATATTGAACCCTACGGACTAAGACTGGGATGCCATTAAAGTTCATGTGTGTGTGTAAAGGCAGGCGTCCCAATACTTTTGGCAGTATCGTGTATCAACACTTAGTACCCCATGATGACAAAGTGAAAAAAGAATTTTAGAAATGTCTGTGAATTTAATAAAAAGAATAAACTGAATTATCACAGGTACGTACAGTTGTGTTCAAAATAATAGCAGTCAGACATTACTAACCTGATCAATCACTGTTTTTGGTAGAAATGATATTTCTACCTGGCAAATAATTTATTAGCAGGTGTAGTAGAGTAATAGAAATCCAACAGACCCAACAGTCATGACATGCATGCTGCTGATTCTGTGTAATTGAATCACTAATTGAAAGGGGCATGTTCAAAATAATAGTAGTGTGGAGTTCTATTAGTGAGGTTGTTCATTCTTTGAAAAACAGGTGGCAATTATTGCCCTTATTTAAGGAAGGAGGGCAGCAAATGTTGTACATGCTGGTTACAGTGCATTTCTCTCTGAAATTCTGAGGAAATGGGTCGTCCCAGACTTTGTTCAGAAGAACTGCGTACCTTGATTAAAACGTTGATTGGAGAGGGGAAAACATATAAAGAAGTGCAGAAAATGATAGGCTGCTCAGCTAAAATGATCACAAATGCTTTAAAATGGCAACTAAAACCTGAAAGACATGGAAGAAAGCGAAAAACTACCATTCGAATGGATAGAAGAATAACCAAAATGGCAAGGACTCAACCAACAATCAGCTCCAGGAAGATCAAAGAAGGTCTAAAGTTACCTGTGAGTACTGTTACAATTAGAAGACACCTATGTGAAGCCAAGCTATCTGCAAGAACCCCCGCAAAGTCCCACTGTTGAAAAAAAGACGTGCTGAAGAGGTTACAATTTGCCAAAGAGCACATTGACTGGCCTAAAGAGAAATGCCACAACATTTTATGGACTGATGAAAGTAAGATTGTTCTTTTTGGGTCTAGTGGCCGGAGACAGTTTGTCAGATGACCCCCAAACACTGAATTGAAGCCACAGTACACTGTGAATACAGTGAAGCATGGTTGCGCAAGCATCATGATATGGGGATGTTTTGCATACTACAGTGTTAGGCCTATTTATCGCATACCAGGGATCTTGGATCAGTTTGAATACATCAGAATACTTTAAGAGGTCATGCTGTCTTATGCTGAAGAGGAAATGCCCTTGAAATGGGTGTTCCAACAAGAGAACGACCCCAAACACTCCAGTAAACGTGCAACATCTTGGTTCCAGACCAACAAGATTGACGGTATGAAGTGGCCAGCCCAATCCCCGGATCTTAATCCAATAGAAAACTTGTGTGGGGTGACATCAAAAATGCAGTTTCTGAGGAAAAACCAAGAAATAGAGAAGAACTGTGGAATGTAGTCCAATCATCCTGGGCTGGAATACCTGTTCACAGGTGCCAGAAGTTGGTTGACTCCATGCAACAAATGTACAGCAGTTCTCAGAAACAGTGCTTATACAACTAAATATTAATTAAGTGATTCAAAGGAAAGAAAAATCTTCAAACATTTTTCAGTTTATATAGTGAATGTTTGAGTTTGTAAAGAAGAATACAACACTGCTATTTTTTGGAAGTCTAATATTCACTTTTCTTCAATTTTTTTAGAGGAACAACACAAATTTCATATATTTTTCTTCATGTTTTGATTTGGAATAGAATGTGAGTGGAACTCAGTCATCGGCCATTGGGTTCTTGGTCACTTCTCTTACTAAGGCCCTTCCTCCTTTTGGAAGAGTCCCTGCTTGTGCCAAGTTTCATTCATTTGAGAATTACTGTGCTCTTGTGAACCTTCAATGCAGCAAAATGTTTTAGTAGCCTTCCCTAGATCTGTGCCTTGCAATAATCCTGTATCTGTGCTCTGGCAAGCAGTTCCTTTTGATCTCATGGCTTTTGCTCTGATACAGTATGGATTGTCAGCAGTGGCCTTTTATATTGAGGTGTTGTCCTTTCCAAATCATGTTGAATCAATTTATTTTACCACAGGTGTATTACAATCAAGGGTTAGAAACATCTCAGGAACAATCAAGAGAAATGGGAGGCACTTGAGTTAAATTGTTGCAAAGGGTCTGAATTCTTATACCAATGTGATGTTTCAGTTTTTCATACATTTGCAAACATATCTAAAATTCTGTTTTCACTTTCTTATTATGGGGTGCTGAGTGTAGAATAAAATGAATGCATTTTAAACAACTGTAGTGCAACATAACAAAATTGAAAAAAGTGAAGGGATTCTGAATACTTTATAAATGCACTGTATGATAATAGTTAAATGAAGGTTTTAAGATGTGTTAAAGCTGAACTTAAGGCAAGCCTCTACAAAGTTGCACTTATATGACGACCGTTATTACCTGTTAAAAGATTTGAAGCCATGTAAGTTAGTTTTGTGATCCAGGCCCTCCTGCCAGGCAGTACAACCAGGTCTAATCCTCAACAGCAGCATCACATCGTAGTCAGGAACACTGGCAAGCACATATTCCAAGTCTGCATATTAAGCCACAAAAGAGCAGTAGCTCACTGGTTAGGTCATCACTCTGTTTACTTTGCTATCCCCGTTCTGTCAGCATATGTGGAGAGCTGGCCCTCCAGGAACCAGTTTTATATTTGCTGCGCAGTGGTTATAGGGAACTGAAACCAAGACAGTGTCATGTACATACACAACTTGATTTTAAAAATGAATTTAACTATTAATCCTATTAATTATTGTGTTTTTATAGGTTCCAAAAGGTCAGTTTTGTTCTTTTTCTCTTGAGTTTCTTGTTTTTTATCTACAGGGAAAATATTTTTCTAGATTGATCCAGACCTTATTTTGATCAACAAATTTAAACAAAAAGTTATATTTCTTAATTGGACACAGAATTATTCATGAACAATGGATTATGCAGCTGCCTTCAGGGAGTTGGACACATGCAAACAGAGCTGTGAGACAGCCCATTATAACCATTCCAACATGTTTCAGTTTTTGTAGTGTCCTAGGAGAACGGACAGCTTCTGTCTTCTGAGAGAAGCAAGCTACTTTTTCAAAGACTGCTTGCTTCTCAAGGGTGTACAGGGTGTTGTTTACACTGGTCACCCTGGACATTCCCCAGTAACTCAGTGGGATCTCAACCTGGTTCTATCAGTTCTCCAGAAAAACACCATTTGAATCCAACAGCAATGTTGCCATTTACCTTCACCAAGCCTGCTTCTCTTGTGGCCATCACCTGTGTGGGGTGAGTTTCTGAGTTAGAGGCCTTTCTCATGCTACTAAGACCCCTGATGAATTCTGAGGAAATAGTGATGAATAAACTTGTTGCAGTAGCATCAGTAAGAACATCTGAACAGAAACTCTGAAGATTATAGAAAAAGAAGGGGTTGTTTTAAGGGTTAGTAGAGGGTGTAGGAGGTATGTAACAGTATGCTATAGCATATCCAGAGGTATAGAGGTCGTGATAAATCACATTGTGTTGATTAGATGCCAGGGTATTGAAAATAAGTTGACTGTCATGTATATGGGATAAATGGCAAATTAGGAAAATAAGATGAGAAAGGAAAATAAACAAAGTGGAAAAGGCGAAGAAGTTGGGGGAAACTATAAAAGGAAAGAAGAAAATTGAAGGGAAAGCTTAAATGAAGTAGGGAAGAGAGAGGAAGGAGCAGACTGGAAAAGCCCTTCCCAGGAAGTCACTGGTCGTGTTCAGTATTGGGCAGATTGGTGGAATGAAGATCTGTGGGGAAGCAGCAGAACATGTGGTGTTATGGGTGTTGTAAGTCCTTACTGGTTAATGGTAGGAGAAAAATGTCAGAGAGGAGTTTGAAAAGAAATTGGTGTATAAAGGTGTTCCTTTCACCTTAACCAGGACATTGTTCTCCCATATCTATGTCCTGCTCTACATCATCCCACAGAGATCGTTCTCCAATGTCTAGATATGATACATGCTGTTTAAATCTATCTCTCTGCTATAGCTTCTTTTAGGGCTCATTCACACGTACTTTGATGTCTGAAGAGTAATCTGTGTTTGGAGTGCTCTTCAGAGCACTATATATATATATATATATATATAATGGTCTGGCTTGGCTGACTAAGAGTGGTGGGAGAGTAGCAACAGATGTAACTAATAGGTCTAATAAATACACTCATGCAGACATTGAACCATAATGAGGCAATACAAAATATCTGGAGTTCTAGGTCATGTTTCCAGACTGGATCATCACAGGAAAACCTTGAAGAAAGGACTGTTGCTCTGAGGTCGGAAAGGACCATTTTCAATTATGTTGCTCCTCTCTGTGCTGATGGGACGATGTTAGTAAGTTGAGGCGGTCCTAGATGTTCCTTTCACCTTAACCAGGACATTGTTCTCCCATATCTATG